GTTCTTAACGATTCAATTCGGTCGAAGTAACCACAGACAGTAGTCGCTGGGTCGAATGGAAATAAATCTGACCGCATACTCTCGAGTCAGTGGACAGAATCATGAATGTTGGGTCAATAATTTATGTTTAAAACATCGTTTCTCTATGATCATAATGTCAATAGTAAGGTTTTTTGTGAACCGTATCATTTCCTCTCTATAGAAGGATATTATCTAATATTAATACAAAAATCCCACTAATATAATAAACATCAAAGTTTGAATGTTTATTACAAAATTGTGCTTAAACGTCAGAAAGGACTAACAGATTTTTCGTAACATGACCATACAATATTTTAAAATTAAGTCGGAATATTTTGTTTTCTTCCAAACCAAGTTAACATCTGCTCCCCCTCCGCATTTTACCAGATACCGGCCTTAATTAATGACATTATGATATCATTGTAAAGTGTTAAATGTTACTTATACATTATTTTTAGTACCTACATTTATTATAAAATTTTATTGTTTTTATAAGTCTGTTCTCTGTGTAAAGAAAGGAGCTGGCAGACAGAGTAAGTACCAACATTAATATGGTGGTACGTGCTTTTTATTTTTTAAAATATGTATACATATCTACTATTAACTGTATATTGAATATAAGATAGAAGTACCCTAAATGAGGAACCTTCGAATAATACCAAAAGGATTAGAAAATTAGAGTGACTAATTCTGTTTGAACCAACTTCCTAATTCTAACATTAATTGTTTGTGCTTTATCACTATAGCAATCTTAGCCTTTATCCAGGGAGTGGATCGCCATGCTAATCCCGGATCAGAGACGCAGGTGCTACCGGTCCCGGCCGATCATTTTACTCGGTACTTTATAGGAAGGATTGTCTCGGGACGAATGTGGTCTCGGCTACACAGTGAAGAAGGGTTGATAGCCGTAGATTCAACTTTGTTGCATGACACCTGATTAATTGGATATTTGGATCCAATAAATTGCTAATTGATCACTTTTATCACGATCCATTTATTTTAAGGTAATTAATGTCCTAATATTTCAAGCTCCAAATGTGTTAAATATACTATTAAAATCATTTACATTAATATTTATGTAGAGTTCTTCCCTATTTCATTAATTTTTGTTTAGCTAGTGTGTACACATTCACAGTTCTGTCCTTTATTACATTCGCCTACCCAGTTCTATTTTAGCTCTTGTACCGGTTGACTTTGTTCTTTTAAATTAAAACCATTTATAGCGTTTAATAAGGAGTATAATCAACATTTTATAGAATAAAATAAAACTTGGGTGATTACAATAGTGATATTCAAGGTATTAAAGCATATATTTTAATGTATATTATATTTTAATCTGTATCTTAATATGCTACTGCATTTCCTTTGAATTATCTAATTGTCATTGTATACTTTAATGTTTTTGATGCAATAAAGTGTTAAATAAATAAAAATAAGATGACAACTAGTGACAGCAATTGATTGTAAATTCTGACTTATAAATCTCAATATCCTTGATTATTATCAATTATTTTCGCTATATTAGGTGTAAGTATTATATGTAAGTGTATTAGTAGATGTGTCATAATAACTAGGCTACTTGACATAATTCTAAGTGTTTTTGATAACGATCATTGTAATGTTAACAAAAACAACAAATTTGTTAATCTGGGTCAGATCGCGAATTTAAAATATAGTATAAAACCTAGGGCAACCTCGGCTGGCGCACTCCACGAGGTGGTATGGGTAGATTGATAAATGCGCGGAAGCACTCGCCGACTAATGAATGGGGTGTGGCACGCACACCGCATGCCATTGCACTATCTGCAATCCTTGCTAACCACCGCCATACAATAACGAGAGATATTTACGGTCTTCCCACTATTCCCCGCAAACGGCACGGCTAACTTACGATCAAGCACCGCAAGTTGCATCTGACGCCATAAATGTAGCTCCAACTAAAACTAAATAATAAAAAACTCATAACTTCTAATTGAAACATTATAATATAAAACCAAAACTAACAAACGTAATAAAGTTCGTGATTAAATTATGCATAGACTAAAACAACACAGCTTGTTTCAGGAATGGGTTTGTAGAGTCTTGAGATTTCGGATGTTCAAGGATGTTTATTTTCAGTCTGGAAAAGAAACAAGAATATTTTAATGTCTGTATTCTTCTTGTTTACATTTCTGATCCTAAAGGATATAGGATATATAAGGATAAAAAGAATAATAAGTTCCTGGGATTATCTAATGGACAAGGTGGCTGTGTAGCATCGACAAATTTGGTTATGGTTTGCACACACAAACACATGCAGTCATAAAATAATAAACGATCAACAATCAGCGCGGAACGCCGCATCCCCTGATACCTCGAGCATTAAAACGGAAAGCAATTTCGCGCAGAGAACACTTGTACAATGCTCCCATTCCGTTAGAGCGAACAGCCAGGCGATTCATTTCCCTGATGGCCACCCATTACACCGGTCAAGATGGATGGATAACAAACCAGCAATTACACTATAAACACAACGACAATCGAATGTTTTCACTAATTGAAAAAGCCACACGTAGATCGATTCATTTGAGAGCACTATATGAAATGAAAGTTGGAGTATAGTATGGCGTGACGCGACCGTTGAAATATGAACTCCATTGACTTTACGAGCGGTGGTGACATTTATTAATCTAGTGGGTCACCTCCAACGTATGCTGCGTACGTTAAATTAATATACTTTCCGCGTGTAAGCCCACGAAAAAGGATCAACCAACAATTTTGATTGACGCAATCATTTTACCTAATCCCATATTTTATAGGAAAGGAACGTGGAAACGGCAACAAAGAGGTTTATAAAACGCTCCCGACTAAGTAGAACTAAAACGATAATGAAGGAATTAGCGAGTCCGCGTCACTTGGCAAAGAATCCTAATCATAATAACTCAAGATCGTATCGCGGGGGTAGACGATGAACAAAAGGCGGCAGAGCAACAATGGCGCCCAACGCGGGCCCGAGAGCCGCGCTAACAAATTACCAACCCGCAGATAACTAAGCAATATTAAATCATAGTAATTTGTGGTTGCAAGACGCAGCCCCTTTTCCCGGTTATCTTGGTCGGCTCAAGAATGACTAAAATATTATTGTTATTTTTTTAGAACATACGTACAATACTAAACTGATGTGAAATAAATGTAATTTTACAAAATATAAATAGATAGCAGAAAAGTGATTAACAGGCTTATTAATAAAAAGAAACGGCATTTAAATCAGTCTGAAGCACAACATGCAGAAGTTGGCAACTGGCAACTCTGCGTGAAACTGCAATTTCGCCGCTCATAAAACAGGAAACCCTGCAGCGGGGGGCGGGCTTGGTGCAATCGCATCTTTTCACTCGGCTCCTTCGGAGGCACATTAGCAATTCTAACCATTGCAATAGTTGCTCGGAAATTGTAATATTTAGTCTTAATAAAGCCATTCGTAACGTTGAATATCCAGAGCAGGCGTGAGGCGGTGCCGCGCCGCGCCGCGCTGCGACTCGCCCGAGGCGGAACCACTTGCGCTGCTTAAATTTACTGCAAGGCTTTATTCGTGAATGTTTAGGTTTTCATAGACCATATAAACGTACATTCTCTATTTATTATGTAGGATGGTTACTATCAGAATCTAATACTAATTACATTCAGCATTACATTCTCTTTACAAAATCTATTTATGTTACGGTATCTGACATAAAAGCTTTCGATGATACGCCGCATTAAAAAGAAACGGACCTAATACAAAATTAGTAGAAATATAAAAAACATTTTGCGTTAGGCAATACACATGTTTAATTCATGCCTTTAGAACCGGCTTGTACCTATGCATGAGTCGAGTACCATAAATGAATGGACTAAAAACCGTAAATTTAAAAGCCCCTCATTTCGACCTCAAAAAGATGATTCAAAAGTAACAAATTATTTTTAAATTATATGAATAATAAATTAAATAATGGAAAATGTTAGTATAAAGAGAAATGAATATTCAGAATTCTAACCGCTATAAATTTACCACTCAAACAATTCTGAAACGTTATGCGGCTATTGTATCGCATGGTCGGGGGATATAGTAGTATATTAATGAACCGATAGCGCGCAATATGAACCGTTTTATATAAATTTACTGAATATTCGCCCCGCGGACAATGGACACTGGCAGTGGAGCCGACCGTACCATATGTAACTTTTAAAATATTTTAAACGTTGAAACTGGTGCCAAAATGTTTTAATTCGGCACTTATGGAGCGTCGCTTAATGTAGTGCTGCGAGAGATTTTTTGAAGAGACGAAAATTAAATGGCATCCTCGCCTGCGCTATTGATATACGTTGTTAGCGTATACCTGTGAGGAATGGGACCGTTAAACTCATTGCTAAGAATTTTAAGTTCTCGTTGTGATAGATTGCAGGTACAATTTTGTACGTGCATACTATGGTAAAGATCCTAGACGTCTATTATATGAACCAATTTAAAAATGAAAGAACAGAAATTTTAAAACCCATAGTAGTGTCTAAAGTTTATCAAACGTTCATTTTATTATGATGATGTAGGTATCTCATGCTTAAAAATATACTTTTACTCTACTAAACTATATCTACCCTTCGAGAGTTAGCACTTTCTAGTGCCATCTATCGGAGGGTAGATGTGATTTAAATATTTTGTAGAGGCACCGAATGCTTATAACCAAAAGGTTAAAGCACACTATCATTTTGCACTCAATGGCCATCTACAGGAAGTCACAAGAACGTATGTTAGCGCCATCTACACTACGAATTATAAATTACACGGGATGTCGGAAACTTGTAATAACTTACAAACGGTTGCATTGAATACTCCACAGATGGCGGTAATCTGTACTTTTATGAAATAGGTTGTGATGTATGTTTTGTAAATGAAAATATTAATTACTTAATTTTATGTAAAAAAAAAATACTACATGTATAATAATATTAAATCTACTACTCACGGGTGTAGTTGTGGCCTCCATTAAAATAAAAACCCTCTGTTCTGGAACTAAATGTCTGTAAATAAAAAGAAAAATCATTAAATATTTCATAATTTTCAATGTTTGCACATATTTAAAATCACGACAGGGGCTAAAACATCACAAAAAAAACAGGTACTACTCTATTTACCTGTAATTGCGTCACGTAAGTTACGATCATAAATTTAAGCATTTCATAATTTTTTTACTGAAAGACACCATAATTTAAATTTATTCTGAAAAAAAAAAACGACTTTATAGATATCATTTTGTTTGCAATACTGTTGATTGTTTGCTCCGCAAAGAAGAATTGTAAGTAATGTAAGTTCAATTATAAGAAAATTAATACGAGACTGACTTCTTTTGTAAGTTCGTTACTTTTGTTTTAAAAAAAAATCACATATCCATAAAAGTTTTACTTGTCACTGTCGAAAATAAAAAACTAAAAAAAATATTAAATATTCCTTAGACGGTTATCACAGGACAACACAAGAGAGGAGTCTAATAAGTACTTTTCTATAATATAAAAATGAATCGCTGAATGTGTTGCTAAGCGCAAATCTCGAGAAGAACCGAATCGATTTCGCTAATTCTTTTTTAGAATATTCCTTGAAGTACGAGGATAATTCTTACGGAGAGAAAAAAATAAAAAATTGCTGGAAAAAGGTTAAAAACAACACTTTTCTATACTCACATACAAACGATTCGTAATAATACTTAAAAGTTAATTTGAACTTTAATATCATACCATAAAGTTCAAGTGTTAATGGAGTAGTTCCGGGAAGGCAAAACAATTGAGTGACGTGGCACGGCGTGTTTTATGATTTTTATTTTTTGGCATAATGTAATTGTTGACTTATTTTATTTATTTTTAATTTTTTTTTTTTATTTTTTATTTTACTAAATGGCCCGGCGTCCCGAATAGCAGAATAAGTAATAAAAAACTAAAGAAATTAAAAAATCGACTGTTAGGCGATGCGAAGTTCGCGGGGGTCAGCTAGTCGTAAATATAAAATTCCGTGTATAGTTAGACTTTATTTTTATTTTACAATATTTGTTACAGCATTTTGACACATTTGACTACAAACTTCATTGGTTCATTAAAAAATAAGTACCTAGTTTGGTTCAATATACCATTTATGATAATATCGAAACTTTTTTTTTTATATTAATGGCCTTTTATTTTTCTGTAGCTTCCTAATTTGCAAAATGGAGAACAGTTACCTTGTTTCTTTTTCTTTTTTTTGGTAAAAATACATTACCAAAAAAGGAAAATAATATTTATTTCTTAAACAAATTAATGCTACAGATCGCGTATTACTGTTGCCGGGCAATGTAAGCCGCCGCGTATATAATAGAGTCTAGACAAATCTAGGCTTTGTATACAAAGGTCACTGCGAATCATTTATTAAACTAGTCATTGTCCGGCACTACATAACTGTTGTTATGGATTATTTAGTCCTTGAAATAAGAAAAGGGTGTTCCTTTTCTTATTTCAAAGAACTCAGACTTAGATAATAATGTTATTTTATGGTTAATTTAAATATACTTTTTTCCCTCGCCAGGGACATTATGTCCTGGCATAAAATAGGCTATCCCTTTCTTCCCTGTAGATCTTATAAGAGGCGACTAAGGAAATTTAACGAACGAGAGATGGACAGCAGCGTTTCCCTTAAAACATCACCAAAGCCATATCCCACCCATCTAACCAAAACACAATCATGCAAACATAACTACTTCACGACAGAAATACGAATGTGACATCTGACTATGTATAATATAAACATATGTATTTGCCTAAATAAAGCCATCGTTATCATCATTATTAACAGCCCACTGCTGAATATAGGCCTTCCCTATTGGGGGGTTTTGCCAGTAGCTGCCACGCTTGGCAGGCGGGTTGACAACCGCAGTTAGGCTTTGATGATATTTTAAGAGGGACGCTGCTGCCCGTCTTTCTCTTACAACACTCACGGGAAAGGAAGGGGAAACAAGAAGTATTTATATCGCACGTCTAATACCTTTACTTACTTACTTTAGGACCAAATGGCGACATACATATATCTAGCAATAGAAAAAAAAAAGTAGTAAAACTCACATGCGGATTTCTGAGATGAATCACATTAAACCAAAAATATTTCAATTTGAGACAGTGTATTGGGCGTCAAATATGGAAATGTAGATATAACAACCATGATTACGCTTAGAAAAAAAAATCAGCACCTTGTAACAAACTTAATGTGTCACTAACAAGGTAATAAATCTTATTGATTGCAAAAAAATATATAAATCAGGCAAATATCGCATACTAATCACATATAAACACGGTCGACTTGAAAAACTCATTTTGGAAGTTACATAAAAATAAGACCTCACACTGAGGCGTTATTCACACGACCGTTTTTGGCGCTTACAGACATCCAGTTGATTTTGTTGATCTAAGGATTTGTTACTTAAATATAAGTTCAAACTTATGATATTCTTAGAAAAAACATAAAAATAGTGTTTGACTCACCACTCACGAAAACACAGGAGTAGCGGTGAATCATTTATGATGAATTTAGTAAACAAGAAGAGAGTATTTACATAAAACATAAAAGCTCGCTTGCATTATTTTACTTACTAGTATTATAAACAAGCCTTATTATGAAGTAACTCATTTACTAAGTTAGGATATACTCGTAACCTACCCGTGTACCATAATATTATTCAAATTTTCAATAGTTTTTGCGTAAAAGAGTAACGAACTTAGAAACTGTCGGATTAATAATATTAAAACGATTTTAAATATAGTTCGTTTGTTACCTCTTGGCGCCTTAACGGTTTGACCAATCAGCGTGAAAGTGGTGAAAAATTTATGTTTTTTATTTTAATCTTCGTTTTAATCCGATAATAAACTTTATTTGCATTGAACCGAATCTAAAAAAAAAGGTTTATTTTCATATGTATATGAAATGTTTTTATATAAAACTTAGTATAAAGACGGATAATTTTAAATAATTTTTAACACAATCATAGAATACTTTTATACTACTACACCAAAACAAAACCGAGGGTGCAACTAGTATCGCATAAGCTAAGACTAAGCACTGAATGTGTTTTACGACAGAAACATGCCTGTCACAGTATAAAAATCTTAAACAGTGATTCGGGTTGACGGCCAAAATGTTATATGAGCGTGGTGGACCGCTAACCGGACTTCCAGACAGTCATAGCCGGCCATAGCACAGTCTAGCTTTCCTAGACAAGTGACAAACTAGTCTATAGTTAGGTACATTATTGCTGTGTGTATGGGACTGCAGGAAACATCACTTTCGGAAATTGCTGTTTCATACTATTTCTAGTATATTCCATATATTCGCCTTGTTTTTTCCACAACAATACATCATTTACAACTAAATTGAGGGAGATAGTAAACCTCACAGTATAGATATGGATTTTGAATATTTTTTCCCCATAAATAACTCAATAGAGCCTAATTGTCTTCAGAGACTCATCTAAGGGTCAGTTTAGGGATTTCACATTTTTATATTGAACACAGTTTAGCATATTACAAAGGCGTATTAAGTGGATGAGCCGTGCCTACTCCAAAATTGTTTAGGGCCCACTTCAGAGCGGAGGATTTTCATTTATGTACAAAGACATATCTGAGAGTACACAATGCCTTTTCAATGAGGCCTTGCTTCTGGAAAATAATCTTCAATACGCCAATGGAAAATTTTGACGAAAACAACATTACAGACATCATTTTCGAAATACATCAGCGCTGAACAGTCTTCGTTCCCTTTCTACGTCTATACTCTCTGGTCGACGATCCGTTCGAATATTTGCCGACATTTGCCGAAACGTGATAAAAGTCGACTCACTGAAAAATTATATACACTGTGACTATGTCGACTTATATCTTATCCTATGCGCGCTCCAAATTAATCTGTGTTTTCTTGTGGCTATCCCGTAGAAACCATATGCTTTTCCGGATCATTCTATATGTTGATCCAACTTATACATGATGTTAAAAAATGAACTGCACACAGTTTACGCGTTTATAATAAATTATATGTATAACCGTGCGTAATCTGGCGATAGCAATTATTTCATTTATTACAGACATTACAATACTTTTCCAAGAAGGTCAAAAGTTGGATACATGACACAAAACTTACGGATCCTTCACAAATTGTCGACCCTGTGTTGGTGGTTATATATGGTGTTGAAAATGTAGTCCATAATTCAAAGAATTATATTAAAGGGTATTTATTATGTACAACAATCCGTTATCCAGCGATAGTGCATAATTTATGAAAATGAACGCCTTTTCCAAGAGAACATCAAAAGTTTACATAAAACAAATTTATCCTTCATACGAGCCGCGGTCACTTGATCAATTTAGTATGAAAGGCACAAACAATATTTACATATTTCGATCCATTCTTCTTAGAGAAAGTTATTTAGTTTCACGAAAACTTTTTTGTATGTTAAATTTCAGTAAAATAGTTGGGGTACATGAAAAGAAAATCTCGAAATGAAAGTACGAGTATACTAAGTAAGTATGTACCTAGCTGACATTATAATCTCCTCTTTGTTAGTAGCATACTGCTGAAAATAATAAGCTCAGTTTGATGAATAATAAAAATGTATATATTATGTGAAGTTTAGAAGAGAATAGCCAACTGTCATAAAATATTATATTGTTATATTTTTGTATTTAATATTTTGATTATAGAACATTAATAAAAACGACTATAGAGTTTTTACAACATATCCTCCCGTAATCAAAATATATATATAACAAAAATATTACTTAACAAAAATACTGGTACAAAAATAACAAGATAAAAGGTTACCCAATGCCCATATTCGTCATACATCGTAAATGCTTAACATGACCTAAAGGTTTTGTCAAAACATCCGCTGGTAGTGAATCAGTGGGCATATACCTTAATTCTATAATTTTGTCATTTACTTTTTCTCTAATAAAATGAAACTTTACGTCTATATGTTTAGTTCTATTGTGATGGACTGGATTCAACGCAAGTT